ATAGTCTTAATTGGAATCCTACTTACCTCTATCTGGAGATTCAATCAACCCTCTCATGCCTTTTCTAATTATAGTTGCAAATTCGGATAGCTAAACTTGAATTAATGATGAGGATTAACTAATTTAAAATCGTACATCTTAGACTCTTCATCATGGAATCCATTGGATGAACCTCATTCCATAGAAGTTGGGTAAAAATGGATTCTATTGGATTCCATCCAATGGATTCATTGGAGGAATTCTACGAAGCTTGACAGATCATGTCATCTTGATTGATGCACGTGTTCTATTATTTATAAACTGGAACTTATCGTTGTGAATACACGACATGGAGCTGCCAAAAAAATAATGCTGCATTGGAAACCCATACATCAGCTTGGGATACACGTAGTATACCTCTAAATTGTACTACCTCATATTACATGACTTCTTGAAAACACAACTTTTATACCTGCACCACGGTTTGAATTCTTTTGTTGGAATACTTGGTTGTCGTGCATTACACAGTTTCTCTATGAATAATTTTGGGCGGGAACTTGTTGTGCAAGATTTCTTTTGCTTTTATATATTAATAGATAATGAAAAATGTCAAAATTTCAGACTTATGTTGTGCTTTGTAATAACACTGAGCAAAGCCGCTATTAGCTACTCCACTTTGTCAAAGTTGAGTAATCGTAAAAGCTTATTAATTAGAAAAATGCTTGGTGTACACATTTTGTGTATACATATACACATGTATGTCTTTCGTAGAAAATTTGTCTATCACTGACAACTGTTTTTGAGTTGTGTGTGATAGACAATTTTTTTGTGAAAGACAGACATGTGTACACATTTTGTGTACACAAAATGTGTACACCTAGCAAAACTCTGATCTATTAATTAAAGAGATGAGATGTGTTTTCTATTTAACGAAATATGATTAAAAAGATTTGAAAACTCCAAGATAGGATTGACATGTTTTTATTCCCAAAATAGGACTAATTATTGTCAGGTTATGGCAGTACCAGACTTCAAACAAGACAGTATCTTCCAAACTTGGCAAGTTGGCAGTAATTACTCCTATTTTGAGAATAAAAAACATGACAGTTCTATTTTGAAAATTTGAAACTGTTTTAGTCTTATTTCGGAAACTTTCCCTTTCCTTAATTATAATGAGTTGGTTGTACAAAAGCAGAAATCAGAAGTCTTAAATCTTTGACGCACACTTTTAGCTAGCTAGGTGTGCCTTAATTAAGGAATATTTTGGATCCTCAACTTAATTGCTGGCATGGCCAGCTGAAGTCGTCCGAATCGACAACCAGGCGACCATTGGACTTTCAATCGAATGGTTGAACTCGTCCAGCGGAATATCTGATTGACCTCAAAGTAGGGCAAAAGCCCCGAATGGAGGAATACTTTTTCTTACTTTTCCTCCATTCCTTTTATTCATTTTTTTATTGGCAAAAAAAAAAAGATTTGCATCTACTTTAGCTCTGCAAATATATCATTTTTGTTTAAGTTGGTATTTTTCTTAATATAAACTATCTCATTTTCAAGCGATTAAATTCCAATTTTAGTCATATGAGTATCATACGAATTTTACAATTGGTTAATGTCTTCAACTTTGGTCACTTTCGATACATGGTTATTGTTTTTTAGCTCATATATAGTCGAGGAAATTCCCAAAAGATAGAAGTTTTTTGTATGACAAACAAAAATATGGGAGCTCAAATTTTTGTACCAAAACATGGGATTTGGAATCCCAAATTCCGAATGAATAAGAAAACAAGGGTTGGGGGACGTGGGTAAGGGGGTGGGTGGGGTTAGCAAAATACTCCATTTTCACTCTTTTTGAAGTGTTGTAACTTATTTATTTGTACTCCATTTTGACAAAAATATATCAAAATTCCTTATTCTTTATGATATTTCATATGACACCAACATGACATATATAAAATTTAATTAAAAAAACTGAAGTTTTAACAATAGGAGATTTTCCGTTTAAAAAATATTCTTAAATAGATTCACGGGCTAACATTAATATTTCATTTTTAAAATAATTGAAACATGTTTTAAAAGTTACTTTAACAATGAGATCCTTATTTTAGCACTTGAGTCTATTTAAAAATAATTGGATGTGAAAACATTCTACAGTTGAAACGTAAAAAAAAAACTTAAAGTTTATATATGGATTATTGGTGTCATTAGAAAGATCACAAAAAGTTATGAATTTTGAAATATTTTTTGTAAAATTTAGAATAAAAATAAAAAAGTTTTTTTTAACATGTGGTTCTTGATTAGGTTGCGTGTTTAGGTTGTCCGTTGGCAGGCAATTATTCGAGGTAACAAACTTCGATTTTTTGCAAATCAATCTGTTGAATTTTGATTTTGCAATTTCTGCCAGAGTTGAGATAGGGGGATGACGATCGCTTTTAGTTGCGTGTACTAAAAAGTCATCCATATAAAAAGAGTCATCTAATTGGTAAAAGTAGTTGTCTAATGCGTCGTCTGAGTATGCCTGAAGAAGCCTAGGTTGTTCCACTGGAGTCGGGAACCACTGTTTTTATGAGTATAATGTCATATTAAGCATGAGCTAATATTACTACAATTGTCAGTATAATCACTAAATTAAGAAATTAAAGATTACATTGCCGTTTGTGGAGGCGGGTGAGTATTGAAATGATATAGGATATGTTTGGCACAACTAGCTGAAAAGATATTTTTGTAAACTTTTTAGTAACTGTTAGTTTTTAGTAACTGAAAAGATCTTAAAAAGAAAATGTGGTAGCTGTTTGGTAAAAAAGCCGATTGTTCGATTTAGTTTGGTTTGGTATACAAGCTGTTAGAACAAATTAATACTAAAAGTCATGGTCTTTTCTCATATGCTACTCCCCGTAGCATCTCAAAAAAATCTTTTATTTTTTGATAAGCTCTTAAAATTTGTCATGTCAAACGTACAACTAAAAACTTTTAGAGACGTTTTAAATAGTACAAAAATTAAAAGGCATAGACTTATGTCTGCCAAATGTGCACATAATAAGGAAAGAAAACCCTATTAACTAATTAATTAGTTGGATTGTTTCTGTCTTCAATGGATGGGAAATGGTAAGGACGAGTGATGAGTTACTCCCTCCGTCCTTAAATAAACTTTCAACTATTACTTTCCTTTTTTTGTCAAAGAATTTGTGGTTCACATCAATTCTTACACATTTCTCTCTCTCTTTTGCACAACTCTCCACCATACAATACTCACTATCTTAAACTGTGTGTCCAACCTATTTGGAAGATTTATTAGCGACGGAAGTAGTACTAAAAAGAAGACTAGTGCAACTGTGCAAGGCAGGAATAAAAGCAACGAAAAAATTGAGAAACTTTGACTCACGTTTTTTTACGGCGTTATGGTTTTACCGCATTTTGGGGCATTGAATTATCATTGGCAAGATTGTCATACTTTTTTTTTCATTGATGAAGGGAAAATGGAAACTAATAATTCAATCATTTAGCAGTATTCTTATAATAATTTCACCTAATCATAATTCAGAAATAATTCAATTTTTGCATCTCATTTTCATTTGTTGGTCTCTGATTGGTTGATGATTTGCTATTCCGGGTTATTTTCTTATCTTTGCAAAATATTAAACTAAAAATCCCACATTTCAGAAATATTCTCTCAGTGGTCCATGTATCATTTATCTTTTCTCTCCCCAAAACTTTTTTTATCATGTTGACCCTTTTATTCCTCCTTTTCATCTTCTTCTTCTTAATTTTTATTTCTTTATGCATGTTTCTATATTCATTTTTTCCTTCTTTTTCTTCTTCCCGTTTATGGTTTCATTTTGATTTTTATATATTTTTTCGGATTAGTTTCCTTCTTATAAAAGATCATTTTCTCACAATACTAACTCTTTCCTTTACTTTCTTTTTACATACACTTATTTATTTTTCTTACTTGTGGTTGAGTAAGAAAAATGCAAATGAATGTTAGTCACAAAAATCTTTCCATAGAGAAAGAAATTTTTGAATATTATTTTGGGATATTCCATAATGGTAAATGAGATTTTTTTGAAGGGATGTAAGAAAAGGAAAAAGGAAATAAATAAGTGTATGTAAAAAAAATTAAAGTAAAAAGTTAGTACGCCCACTAGTACAAAAATTGTCTATTGTAGCACACATTTTGTAGCATCATAGAAATTGCTACAATATGTTATCTATTGTAACATTATTATACACGAAAATGCTATAGTAAAATGATAAATTGTTACGATACATCTATTGTAACACCGGTCGGATGCAGCATGCTAAACGTGTTGCATTTGATATATTGTGACATTTTTGACACCTATTACAACATTTTGCATATTCTACAACATTTTGCATATGCTGTAACACCGTCCCCAAATGTATTTACTTTTAAGTAAATGATGTAATAAACCTTATGGAATGATTTATGAATTTAGGAAGTTGTAAATTTTTATTATTTCTTTCGCGTGAATAGTAAATTGCACGTGGGACCCACACCGGGAGCGGGGGGCCGCCCTACATTCCCGAGACCATATATTTTATTCATCTTGGTCTAGATAATAAATATATAGTGGTGGATATTTCATTTGGGCCATGGAAAGGCCCAGAGTTGACAGACGGGTCAAAAGGAACCTAAATTACCGGTACTGGTAATTTAACAGGTAACAGCCCGAACTGAATTTCGGAGGCTTATAAATTAAATTTGGGGAATGTATATTCATTATACATGTCATACTGAGTAAGAGCACATAATATATTTTATTTGACCCGATAAAATAAAATATATTTAAAACAGTCCGAAAAATACAACTTTCGGGACCGATTGTACACATCGGGACACAAATGGATGACCTCCCACATGAGTGGGGGCCACCCCACGTTTTTGTGCTAGATTAGACAAAGATGGGCTGGAGTTGACTAAGGAAGATGTGGAGGAGGAGGCTTGGGCATCAAAGGTACACCCAAAGGGGCCCTTTTCCTCACTCATTTGCCAAATGAGACAACAAGAGCCGTCCCCTCCCCTCCCTCACTCATTAGCTCGACCAAGCACCAAGGAAGAGGAAAGAAACCTCTCAAATAATCCTCCATAGCCACCAAACTCGAGCTCAAGCATAAGTGTTCAAAGAAGGGAGATTAAAGAGTGAAAAAGTTGGGAAAAGTGTGAAGAATTAAGGTAATGACCTTATTATAACTTTTCTTTATTTTTCTTCTACCATATGAGATATATATCATGTGAAGAATCCTTAAGAGGGTTCTACATGTTATAAGTATGGATTAATGGGTTGGAAAGTGATTCTATGTCCAAGAACGGACTTAGAAGCCAAAACGACCGGTCACCGGAAAATAACCTTTTTGAGGTTATTTGTATTAACATGGGTTTTATGATTATAAAACCTTGTTAGGCACTTGTAAAGGGTATATCAAGTGGTTTCACAAAGTTGGAAAAGTCGCCGGAGTTGTCGCCGGAGTTGACCAAAAGTCGCCGGAGTTTCACCGGAGTTCAACCAAGGAGGGTAGAACTTCATAACGCTAGTTCAAGGTGAGTGGACGGCTTAATATCTTATAACTTTTGGGTTAATTATGAGATTACCTAAATAAATGTTATATGAGTTCATAATAATGTTTAAAAGATATTTAAACATGTGATTAGCCAATAGGGTTAAGTTTGTATGAAAGAAATAAATTGTTGATGCATGGAATGTGATATGAAGAATTATATGAAATGCATATTTGCTTGAAGTATTGGAAGCACAAATGAATATTATTAACTTAATTATATGATGATTAAGTTGATACACACAAGGCATGAAATGGCGGTCAACGAAAACGTGGGCCGAAGAACAAAGGATTTAATTAATACCGGTTGGTATTAATTAATTATAAACCTATGTAAATGCATGGCTTTGCATGGATTGTGATACATAAGATTTATGTATTGGATTAGTTATGAGTAACTAAGGATGATATAGACTCTATCTAGGTTGATAGGAGGTTGATCATAGGAGAACTTGGTGGAGGACCCTAGTACTTAAAAAGTACTTAACACTCAAACTTGGTGGAGGACCCTAGTACTTAAAAAGTACTTAACACTCAAACTTGGTGGAGGACCCTAGGACTTAAAGTACTTAACACTCAAACTTGGTGGAGGACCCTAGTACTTAAAAGTACTTAACACTCAAAACTTGGTGGAGGACCCTAGGACTTAAAAGTCCTTAACACTCAAACTTGGTGGAGGACCCTAGTACTTAAAAGTACTTAATACTCAAAACTTGGTGGAGGACCCTAGGACATATGAGTCCTTAACACTCATAAACCGGTGGAGTATCCAAGGATTATGATCCTAAAACTCATAGATTATGATATACAAATAGGGACAAGGAGGAGTCCTATACACTCATAGGTATATGGGTGGGTTGGGGTTTTTAGTCAAGAATATTAACTATTACTATTTTTCCCAAATAAAATGGTGATCTACGGATCGGATATTTTCCAAGTATATATATACTAATAAGTATTTCATAACTTGGGGGAAAGATTATTTATTTAAGTATCACCCTATGTTTGGGTCTTATACTTGAAACGCTAGTTATTCTATATTTAGCCTGATACTCGCTCGGTACTTGTACTGACCCCTTCGGGGCCCCCCACCATTTTCAGGTTGAAGCTAGAGCTTGCTACTTGCACCTTCTCACGGGTGATATCAAATCAGGGAGACGTGGTTCGTGCTTCCTTATTTTCTTTCAAACTACCGAACACTTGCTCATGGATATTTGTTTTACTATAAACTATTTTTGGGGCTTGCATGCCCATGTTGTCGGCCGGTTGTGGCCCATGACTTACCGTTGAATATTTCCGCTATTCATTGGTTTAATGTGATGTTGTTATGTATGTTTACTACTGAGTATGGATGGATTGTTTTCTCGAACGCCTTGTGTAATTAAGTGAGGTTGACCCGTGGGTGACGTCACTTAGTTATACGGCGGTTGTACACGCACTTGGATTGCGGTCTGGGGCGTGACAATTAAGTGGTATCAGAGCCATCTCAGTTCTAAACTATATAATCAACCTCTCACAAAAGATTTTTGCAAAAGAGTTTTTACCGAAAACCATGAGCATTGTATTTTGACGTTTATAGGACTATTGGTGCTTAAGTTGCAAGGCCTCTAATTGTTAAGACGGTACCCTTAACAATTGGTATGGTAGTGACTTGGGCCAATACGTGTCTGTAACGTTCTTCCGTCAATTGACATTTATAGGAGTCTAATGACTCATCCATATTTCTTTCAGAAATGGAGGGCAGGCGAATGGGGACCAGGAACAATCCGAGGGGGCAGGCGCCGGTAGCATCCCAAAGGGGAAGCCGGGCTGCATCTCGGGGTTCGAGAGGAGGCCGGGGAGGCCGTGGAAGCCGTGGAGGTCATCAAGCTCAAACTGTGAGTGATGGCCATGTGAGCTCGGTGTATGAAACCAACACCGAAGACTATGACTCAACCTACGTTCCAGAGACGGAGCATGAAGAGACCCCGTATGATGGGGGTGACACATACACCGATGATGATGATGAAGAGAGTGATGCCAAGTTCGCCCAAATGGGCGAATTGCTTGAGTGGTATCAAAAAGAAAAACTGAGGAGAGACCTTAGGCGCCAAGAGAGGCGTGGCTCTCGTGGAGGTTCGGGTCAAGGAAGCCGGGGAGCTTCCGTGGCCACCCCAGCGGCGTCACAAGGTGGGCGTGAAGGAGGTTTTGTTGTGAGAATCTCCAAGTACCTCAAGGAGGCTAGGGCCTTGGGGTGTAAGTCCTTTGACGGCACCGGTGACATTACCGTTGCCGCCGATTGGATTAAGAAGGTGAAGGATGCATCAAGAGACATGCAAATCACACCGGACGTGAAGTTGACTGTCGCTTCACGGCTACTTGAAGGAATAGCTTCTACGTGGTGGGAGAGCGTGGAAGGGAAGTACCATGGGGAAATAACATGGGCGGATTTTGAGCTAGAATTCTATGCTCAATACTACTCCGAGTACGAGGTGAATGTGAAACGGAGAGAGTACACTAACCTCAAACAGAAAGATGGCGGCACAGTTAAGCAGCTGGAACAAGAGTTTAGAACCTTGGCTAGGTTCTTGCCAGAGTACGCGGTTGATGAGAACCGCATGACGGAGCACTTTTGGGATGCCTTACTCTTGGACATCCGTGATCGGGCTACGTACTCACGCCACATGACCTTTAGCGAGGTGGTGGAGCAGGGCCTTCTTGGGGAGGCCCAATGGAATGAAAGAAAAGAGAGAGACGCTGAAGAGGCGAAAAAGAGGAAATGGCATGGTTCGGGGCCGCCCGAGCAAGCACGGAAAGATAAACACGGTGGGGGTGGTGGTTCGTTCAAGACACCGGCACCACCGGCAAAGAAGAACAGGGATGCTCGGTGGCATGCATCCTCCTCCCAAAGGACGGGGCCTCCAAAGTGTGCCAATTGCTCGAAAAATCATTTTGGGAAGTGCAATGCACCCCCTAGGTGTTATCAATGTGGAAACACGGGCCACATGAAGGCCAATTGCCCACAACTAGGGGGAGGAGGAGCTCCGGGAACCGGAGGAGGGACTACGACGGGGAGGAACCGTGCGGGACCGTCAAACGGCGGCACGGGAAGAGGTGGCGCTTCAACAAGCCATGCTGCGTCCGTAAATCAAGGCGGGGCCCAAGCAAGGGTCTACGCGATGACCGAGGCGGATGCGCGAGCAAACCCGGACTCCGTTGCAGGTAATACACTTATTCCCATATATTTCTAGGCTTATTTTGATCATATAAGTCAATGGGATTGAGTGTGGGCCACCTCGGGACCAAACCGGGTGAATTTAGACCGAAACGGGCTAAAAACAGCCACTGGTGGCCGGGCACGCTTGCAGGCACGCCGTGCGTGCTGCACAGGCACGCCGTGCCTGGCCTGGGGAAGCATCGTGTCTAGGAGGCAGTAGCGCTCCAGAATTTTAGCCAGACGCACGGCCGTGCGTACCAACAGGCACGCCGTGCGTGGCCAAGCAGGCACGCCGTGCGTGACCTGCAGGCATGCCGTGCCTGGCCGGCAGTAGCGAGCAGGGAGAGTTCGATGCACGCACGGCCGTGCGTACCCCCTACGCACGCCGTGCGTGGACCCCCAACACCCGAAAACTTATTTTTTCGCCCTATTCTTCTACGTTTGGACCCCCGTTTGATTCCAAACATTAGTATGAACCTAATAACATCCTAATGACTTGTAAAAACATTAGAAAATGTATCTTACATGGTGTATAAATGTAGGAACATTAAAGATCAATGGTAGGTGTGCGAGGATCCTCATCGATACCGGGGCACAACGCTCATTTGTGAGTGAGGCGTTCGCCGAGGGCCTTGACGTGCCATTGACACCTATGACGCAAACGTTGCTAGTCTCCACACCGTTAGGAGACGATGTGGAGAGAAATCATTACTATCCATCATGCGAGGTGGAAGTGATGGGTCAACCCTTGACTTGTGATTTCGTACCTCTAAGCATGTTGGAGTTCGATGCAATCCTAGGAATGGATTGGCTTGAGAAGCACCATCCTCGAGTAGATTGCTACACCAAGGTGTTGGAGCTCGAGGATGATCAAGGAAACACGCTATATTTCGAAGGAGATCGGGGGAAATCAAATGCTTGCATCATATCCGTGATGAGAGCACGGAAGATGATGAGAAAGGGGTGCCACGCATACCTTGCTTACGTGGTAGACGATACGAAGAAAGAAGTTGACATCAAGGATGTACGAGTCGTGTGCAAGTACCCGGATGTCTTTCCCAAAGACCTACCGGGGCTTCCACCCGATAGAGAGATAGAGTTTGTAATTGAAGTGGAGCCGGGAACCTACCGGGGCTTCCATTCGATTCCTCCTTATCGAATGGCGCCAGCCGAACTCCAAGAGTTGAAGGTCCAACTACAAGAATTACTGGACAACGGGTTCATCAGACCCAGTCATTCACCGTGGGGAGCACCCGTACTCTTCGTAAAGAAAAAAGATGGTACGCTAAGAATGTGTATCGACTACCGACAGCTGAACAAGGTCACAATCAAGAACAGGTATCCTTTACCTAGGATTGATGACTTGTTTGATCAACTTCGAGGGGCCATAGTATTCTCGAAGATTGACTTGAGATCGGGGTATCATCAGTTGAAGATCAAGGAGAGTGACATACCTAAGAGTGCATTTCGCACTAGATATGATCACTACGAGTTTCTTATGATGTCATTTGGTTTAACCAATGCACCGGCAGCATTCATGGACTTGATGAACCGGGTGTTTAGTGAATACTTAGATCAATTTGTGATAGTATTCATTGATGATATCTTGATATACTCCAAGAGTGAGGAGGAGCACGAACATCATTTGAGGCTTATACTTGATCGGCTAAGGGAAAAGCAACTCTTTGCCAAGTTCTCTAAATGCGAATTTTGGCTCAAGGAGATTGGTTTTCTCGGTCACGTCATATCCGGTTCGGGCGTAGTTGTGGATAACGCCAAGATAAAAGCTATCATGGATTGGGAGAGACCCAAGAATGTGAAAGAGATACGTAGTTTCCTTGGCTTAGCGGGATACTATCGTAAATTTGTTGAAAAGTTCTCCGTGTTGGCGTCCCCATTAACGAAGCTCACAAAGAAGGGGGCCAAGTTCATATGGGACGACAAGTGTGAGAAAGGGTTCCTTGAATTGAAGAAACGACTTACCGAAGCACCAGTTCTTGCCTTACCCATACAGGGGATAGGGTATGACATTTACAGCGATGCTAGCATCCAAGGGCTTGGATGTGTACTAATGCAAAACGGTAAGGTGATTGCCTATGCTTCTAGGCAATTGAGGAAACACGAGGTGAACTACCCTACTCACGATCTAGAGTTGGGGGCGGTAGTGTTTGCATTAAAGATTTGGAGGCATTATCTCTACGGGGAGACGTGTCACATTTATACTGATCATAAGAGCTTGAAGTATGTATTCACTCAGAAAGAGTTGAATATGAGGCAGAGGAGATGGATGGAGTTGATCAAGGACTATGACTTGATCATCGACTATCATCCCGGAAAGGCCAATGTAGTGGCCGACGCACTGAGCAGGAAGAGTACGTCAGGGACGTTACTTACTTGTCTACGAGTATTGAGGGCACACGTGGAGGTGTCCACGACCGGGGCGCTCATTGCTAGGTTCGAGGTGAGGCCTACATTGCTAAGTGAGATCAGTAGATGTCAGGCCATTGATGAGGAATGTCAGAAGATCCGCGAACGGATCCTTGAGGGGCCCGTCGAGAATTTTCGGGTACGTGATGACGGTCTTTTATTATTTAAGGATCGTGTGTGCATACCAAAGAATGAGGAGCTCCAGAAGTCTATACTTGAGGAGGCTCATTCTTCAGCATATGCCATGCATCCAGGAGGTACTAAGATGTACAGAGATCTGAAGGAAAGTTACTGGTGGTCAGGTATGAAGAGAGATATCGCAGAGTTTGTGAGTCGATGCCTTACTTGCCAGCAAGTTAAGGCAGAGCATCAGCACCCAGCAGGGCTCTTACAACCGCTCACTATCCCAGAGTGGAAGTGGGAACATGTGACCATGGATTTCGTGGTAGGGCTGCCACGAACAGTGAACAACTACGATGTCGTATGGGTAGTGGTTGATAGGCTCACCAAGAGTGCACACTTTCTGCCTATCAACATTACTTATCCTCTTGAAAGATTGGCCAAGCTATACACGGAGGAGATTGTGAGATTACATGGAGTCCCAATATCCATTGTCTCGGATAGGGATCCACGATTCACATCCCGATTTTGGCCAAAGTTTCAAGCATCTTTGGGGACTAAACTGAAGTTTAGCACAGCTTTTCACCCACAGACGGATGGACAGTCCGAGCGGGTGATACAGATTCTGGAAGACATGCTTAGGGCATGTGCTTTGGAGTTCCAAGGAAGTTGGGACAAGCATTTGGACCTAGTGGAGTTTGCCTATAACAACAGTTATCAGGCAAGTATCGGCATGCCTCCATATGAGGCATTGTATGGGAGGAAATGCAGAACACCATTGTGTTGGGACGAAGTTGGCGAGGCCAAACTCGAAGGGATAGAACTGGTTGAGATCACCAAGGCTAAGGTGAGGATCATTCAGGATAGACTGAGGGCTGCTCAGGACCGACAGAAGAGTTATGCTGACAAACGGCGGAGACCGTTGGAGTTCGAGGTCGGTGATGAGGTTTTTCTAAGGATTTCTCCTTGGAAGGGCATCATCCGATTTGTATCGAGGGGGAAGCTTAATCCCCGATACATTGGTCCATTTGAAATCCTTGAAAGGATTGGAGCCGTGGCTTATCGTCTCAAGTTGACACCAGAATTCGAGAAGATACATGATGTGTTTCATGTATCAATGCTCAAGAAGTACATACGAGACCCATCTCATATTCTTGAGAAACCGCTGGTAGAGATCCGTGAGGATTTGCAATACGCGGTAGAGCCGGTGAAGATAGTAGGTCAACAAGTGAAGAGGCTTAGGAATAAGGAGATTCCTATGGTAAAAGTTCTTTGGAGGAGTGATCGAGTCGAAGAAGAAACATGGGAGACCGAGGTCTCAATGAGGGAGCAATACCCGTTTCTTTTCGATTAGACACACGGATTTCGAGGACGAAATCCCAAATAAGGGGGGGGTGAACTTGTAACACCGTCCCCAAATGTATTTACTTTTAAGTAAATGATGTAATAAACCTTATGGAATGATTTATGAATTTACGAAGTTGTAAATTTTTATTATTTCTTTCGCGTGAATAGTAAATTGCACGTGGGACCCACACCGGGAGCGGGGGGCCGCCCGACATTCCCGAGACCATATATTTTATTCATATTGGTCTAGATAATAAATATATAGTGGTGGATATTTCATTTGGGCCATGGAAAGGCCCAGAGTTGACAGACGGGTCAAAAGGAACCTAAATTACCGGTACTGGTAATTTAACAGGTAACAGCCCGAACTGAATTTCGGAGGCTTATAAATTAAATTTGGGGAATGTATATTCATTATACATGTCATACTGAGTAAGAGCACATAATATATTTTATTTGACCCGATAAAATAAAATATATTTAAAACAGTCCGAAAAATACAACTTTCGGGACCGATTGTACACATCGGGACACAAAGGGATGACCTCCCACATGAGTGGCGGCCACCCCACGTTTTTGTGCTAGATTAGACAAAGATGGGATGAAGTTGACTAAGGAAGATGTGGAGGAGGAGGCTTGGGCATCAAAGGTGCACCCAAAGGGGCCCTTTTCCTCACTCATTTGCCAAATGAGACAAAGAGAGCCATCCCCTCCCCTCCCTCACTCATTAGCTCGACCAAGCACCAAGGAAGAGGAAAGAAACCTCTCAAATAATCCTCCATAGCCACCAAACTCGAGCTCAAGCATAAGTGTTAAAAGAAGGGAGATTAAAGAGTGAAAAAGTTGGGAAAAGTGTGAAGAATTAAGGTAATGACCTTATTATAACTTTTCTTTATTTTTCTTCTACCATATGAGATATATATCATGTGAAGAATCCTTAAGAGGGTTCTACATGTTATAAGTATGGATTAATGGGTTGGAAATTGATTCTATGTCCAAGAACGGACTTAGAAGCCAAAACGACCGGTTCACCGAAAAATAACCTTTTTGAGGTTATTTGTATTAACATGGGTTTTATGATTATAAAACCTTGTTAGGCACTTGTAAAGGGTATATCAAGTGGTTTCACAAAGTTGGAAAAGTCGCCGGAGTTGTCGCCGGAGTTGACCAAAAGTCGCCGGAGTTTCACCGGAGTTCAACCAAGGAGGGTAGAACTTCATAACGCTAGTTCAAGGTGAGTGGGCGGCTTAATATCTTATAACTTTTGGGTTAATTATGAGATTACCTAAATAAATTTTATATGAGTTCATAATAATGTTTAAAAGATATTTAAACATGTGATTAGCCAATAGGGTTAAGTTTGTATGAAAGAAATAAATTGTTGATGCATGGAATGTGATATGAAGAATTATATGAAATGCATATTTGCTTGAAGTGTATTGGAAGCACACAAGACATGAAATGGCGGTCAACGAAAACGTGGGCCGAAGAACAAAGGATTTAATTAATACCGGTTGGTATTAATTAATTATAAACCTATGTAAATGCATGGCTTTGCATGGATTGTGATACATAAGATTTATGTATTGGATTAGTTATGAGTAACTAAGGATGATATAGACTCTATCTAGGTTGATAGGAGGTTGATCATAGGAGAACTTGGTGGAGGACCCTAGTACTTAAAAAGTACTTAACACTCAAAACTTGGTGGAGGACCCTAGTACTTAAAAAGTACTTAACACTCAAACTTGGTGGAGGACCCTAGTACTTAAAAAGTACTTAACACTCAAACTTGGTGGAGGACCCTAGGACTTAAAGTCCTTAACACTCAAACTTGGTGGAGGACCCTAGTACTTAAAAGTACTTAACACTCAAAACTTGGTGGAGGACCCTAGGACTTAAAAGTCCTTAACACTCAAACTTGGTGGAGGACCCTAGTACTTAAAAGTACTTAACACTCAAAACTTGGTGGAGGACCCTAGGACTTATGAGTCCTTAACACTCATAAACCGGTGGAGTATCCAAGGATTATGATCCTAAAACTCATAGATTATGATATACAAATAGGGACAAGGAGGAGTCCTATACACTCATAGGTATATGGGTGGGTTGGGGTTTTTAGTCAAGAATATTGACTATTACTATTTTTCCCAAATAAAATGGTGATCTACGGATCGGATATTTTCCAAGTATATATATACTAATAAGTATTTCATAACTTGGGGGAAAGATTATTTGTTTAAGTATCACCCTATGTTTGGGTCTTATACTTGAAACGCTAGTTATTCTATATTTAGCCTGCTACTCGCTCGGTACTTGTACTGACCCCTTCGGGGGGGCCCACCATTTTCAGGTTGAAGCTAGAGCTTGCTACTTGCACCTTCTCACGGGTGATATCAAATCAGGGAGACGTGGTTCGTGCTTCCTTATTTTCTTTCAAACTACCGAACACTTGCTCATGGATATTTGGTTTACTATAAACTATTTTTGGGGCTTGCATGCCCATGTTGTCGGCCGGTTGTGGCCCATGACTTACCGTTGAATATTTCCGCTATTCATTGGTTTAATGTGATGTTGTTATGTATGTTTACTACTGAGTATGGATGGATTGTTTTCTCGAACGCCTTGTGTAATTAAGTGAGGTTGACCCGTGGGTGACGTCACTTAGTTATACGGCGGTTGTACACGCGCTTGGATTGCGGTCTGGGGCGTGACATATGCTATACGGTGAGAAAAAATCTTTATAAGATAGAAACTAATCCAAAAAAATATACAAAATGAAATTGAAATAATAAACGGGAAGAAGAAAAAGAAGGAAAAATGGAATACACAAACACGGAAAAGAAATAAAAAACTAAAAAATAAGAAGAGTCATCCGCATACCGATCAACAATGTTATTTGTTTTTGAAACTCGTGGAGTTCATGATCGACTACTCATCAACAAACTCAATTTTGCTTTCTTCTTCATCTTTTCTTTCTGGTTTTGGGAGCAGATTTGGAGGGTCTCTCAAACATAAGAGCCAAGGTGTCAACCAGCTTGTCTATTGCTGCTTTACCTTTCTCAACAATAGTACTCATAGAGTCAGAAAAGTCATCTGCATATTGATCAACAGTGTTATAAACAACATGAACATTCATCTCATCCAAACCTTTCATGTATCTAATGTGAGAACACAACTTCCTCCGCTCCGGGGCAAGTGATGACAAGAATCTCACGTTCAGTTCCATATTGGACTTATGAACGTCGATCTTCCTCATCTTATTGATCAAACACAGAAATCTGATGTAGGTGTCTCCAAGTCTGGATTTTGGAATGAATCATAAGTAGTAAAAGTGTTTTCTTTCTTCGCCTTCACACCAATCTCTGTTCCTTACATGATTTTATAGATCTCATCCCACATCTCCTTAGCAGTTGACATGTTGTCAATTTGCATGTAGATTTTGTTCATGATGGCCTGCAACAGCTGGTAAGACTTGGCAGGAGATCTGATCGGGTTCTGATTATGTCTTCATCGTCATACTCTTCTTCAGTCTTCAATCTGTGTGTTTCAGCGACAGGGCGATTGTTTTCAACATTTCTATTAACCGCAATCAGCAGTTGTGCAAGACCATTTGTGATAGAGTCCAGTAAACCACGAGAATGGTCTTTGCTTTCGAGAAAGTTCAAGAATTTGTTCTTCCACACTGTGTATTCACCCTTTCTGAGTATCGGTGGCCTCGTGTCGTTACCAATCAATAGAGCGTCCATGTCTGAGTTCATCAGGCTGAGCAGTTGATTGACTAAGTGTTTTTGCAAAGTACAGCTTCGCGCACACGCAGGTTCACGCACGAAGGACTTTCGCGAACGGAGGCTTTCTCGCAAAGGAGGTTAGTGCACCGACTTTCGCGCACGAAAGGTTCGCACATGGACTTTCGCACACGGCGTGTGGTGCGTGAACTTCAGGTTCACACGCTGAGAGATGCGTGAACTGCTACTTCGCGCACGTAGAGATGCGTGAACCTGAAACTTCGCGATCCTCCTGTTTAACCTGCTGTTACCTTAAAATGTGCGGACTGTGCAGAAAATGATCTACAATAATCAGCAAAACATCTTCCAACATTCATTTTTGTCCTTTTAACCTGCAAAAATATCAAACAAAAGCAAGAAAAATGTCGCACACGAAGCAATGTGAGTTCGCGCACGAGTGAAATCTTCAATGTCAATTTGACGTTCAGCTCCGGCTCTGATACCAGATGTTGGGTCCCTGTTTCTACACTAGACATATATGGAAATGGGGCTCAAAATAGGTAGATGAAGCCTTCCATTGGTGAAGAAGAAGTTTACAGAATGATAAGGAATTTTGGCTTAAAACTTCCGTGGATATTTCTCTTCTGTGCAGGTGTGGGATAAATCAAGAAAGGCTTACCTACTCCAGAGCTATTAATTCGTCCCTTATTGTATCTCTATTTTAATGTTGGGGTGTTGTTAAGTGACAATCGGTTAACGATTTGACACTAATTACCACTAGAAATGATCAATAAACCGATTGTTAATCATTGATAGTGTCACAAGTAAGTAACTTTGAGTTATTAATGCATGGTCTCATTGAGTTAAACTGAAACCGTTGTGTTGATGTTATCAATCAAAGTTGATCGTATCAATGAGTTAAAAGATTAACTAAATGCTACTATCAAGTTGCTATATGACAGTGTTATATATATATAATTGGCAAATAGTAAGAATTGTTAAAGACTGTCTCGTTAGTAATAAATACCCTCAATGAATTGGAGACACTCCACGATTGAGTATTCGAGACGATATAAATTAAAGATATATCCGGGATCAACAAACAACTCAACAAGTGGAAAGTAACAAAATCGAGTCTTCTATCTCATCAAATCAAATCGCATAAGTTGTTCATCTTAATGTTCAAATAATCCTAAGTTCAAACAATTTGAGTGTATAATTTCTAAACTTTGTACTTTTATGAAAATATTTTGAATAAGGAACATTTTGATATTAACTAGTATTCTACCCGTGCGATGCACGGAAAATTATTACATGCCAAAATATACTGCGCAATAATTTTAATAATTTTCGATGCATACATTAGAGTTTCATGTGTATTAATATCAATAAAAATTAAATAGTTGAAATTTAAAAATAATATGTAAGTTTAATAACTTTCGATGCATACAGTAGAGTATCATGTGTAATAATATCAATTTAAATCAAAACAATATAATGTTCCTTAAAAAGTTTGGAATAATAACAATATGAAAACAAAATCTATTACAAATTTCGGAATACTTCCTTAAATACAACGTTCGTTGTTACATTGGTACTACTCCCATCTGCGTCACATATAGCTCTTTTCAAACTCACAGGGTTAGTGACATGTGAAAGCGCAACATATAACTGATCATGAGTGAAAACAGTTTTTTTCAAGACTAATCCAATTCAACATTGGACAACGATTGTTCTTGACTCTTATTTATCATCATAGCATATGAGACAATCAAAGGAAATTGTCTTCTTTCAAATTTGAAAGGCAGTCTCACATTAGATGGAGTCAAAGACATTCTCGTTATCAAACCTTCTCACCCGCACTCAACCCTGTAAAAACTTTTGCTTCCAAAATATGCTTACCTAATATGATAATAACCATCTAGGTCTGGTTTGAATACAAATGTAAGTGTAGGATAGATTTGTGAATTTGATGATAAATTGGGATAAAATAAGTTAATAATCCATATAGAAATGATTTAAATATTAATACACATATATACAACGTTCTTACCGCACAAAATTAATTCTATTAGAGTCTTCATTCTCCGTATCATATATGTATAGTTGTGTAAATTTGGGAACCACGGATTCACACGGTAACAAACTCCCCATTAAATGAAAGTTTTGTCCATGTAGTTTAAACATCGGGGGGGGGGGGGGGGGGGGGTCATGCAAGGTGGAATCAATTTTTCCATCCAAAGATGTGAAGGAGAACATATTATTGTATGAACGAATATTTTGCAAAAAATGTTTCCTCCTTGCATCTTGACCCATAAAAAGATTCTCAATAAATCTTTTTATTGATTTTTCCGGCACTTGTATTTTTCCTTGCATACAACACCCAAAATATTTGCATTTTTTGCCTTATAATAAGCAGCTAATCTCTCCTCATACCAAAATAAGGCTCCGCAAAAGTTACAAACGAAAGAAAGATCCCCAATATTCCAATAACCTAAAAATATGCAAACAAGGTCAACCACAAAAAGTATGTTTAAATTTAATGAATAGATATTTGAGGTTTGATGATGAAACTACCCGTTGGAACATTATTGGAATCACCATCTCCGTCTGTCATTTAAGTTGGTGTGCTCCATTCTCTGCATATCTAATTGCATTGCATCCGCATTCTGAGATGGTGCATCAAGAAAAATATTTATTTCAGGAAATTGTTGAGATGGACCACCTACACCTAAAATTATTATTGTTTAAATAGACAATTTACATTTAGAAAAAACTGAATAAAATTGATATTCGATCGAGGATAAATGTACCAGTTAGAACAATATTGGAACTACCTTTTTCCTCAACATCACCGTAATTTAAGTTGGAATGACCAACTCTCTGCATGCCCAATTTCATTCCATCCACATTCTCTGAAGGTGCATCGGGACTATTAACTATTCCAGGAATTTGTTGAGATGGACCACCTACATCTGAAATTATTATTCTTTAAATTAAATGCATATTTCACATTTAACAAAACTATATAAAAACACAAAAATGTAATTCTCACCTCTATGGCTTCTAACCCTTACAAGTAGATGACATTCAAGTGGAGTTACATTCTACAAATGTTGAAGGTATACATAGCACTTAATGTTATTGCCTTGAGATGGATGTTGACATGACATTGAAAACTTGTCCGAATATTTTCTATATGAAATGAAGCAAAACGAAAACACTGAATTGTGTACATAGATATAAATACATATACCAAAATTTGATAAATTACCATTTGTATTTTCTCTCAAAGGCGATCTTGAGAGCGAAGGTGAGGTCAATATTTGCTTAATTTTTTTCAACAATGGTTCGCCCTTTTTATCTAAAATATTAATAAAAATTTTATAAATATATATATTTAACTAATTTTTTTGTAGTACCCGTGCAATGCACGGGATGTTATTCCAATTTGTGAATGGGTTTATTTGAATATTAAAATTGATGTTAATCTAGTAAACAAAACTTCAATTCAATTTTATAAAATGAATCATAAAAGACAGAAATGTTAAAGATTTATAATTTTGAAACACTTCCTTATATATACTCCTTATATATAATTTTAAGTTATATTTGTATGTTCACTTCCATTTTCATGTGTAGGAATGTTCAACCAAGTGTGACCGGCCATGCATAATACGTGAATAAATAATACGGAGTATAAAAATGCTCACGTCTAAAAATGAATGTTGGGTTAAGGGCCCAAGACGAGGTCCGGCCCATTAACCTCTTTTACCAGACGCACGTCCAGCTAGAACACAAGGCTGGCCCGCAGGCCCATGTTCCTCGGGGAAGGACGAACGTCTGGAGTTGGGGGTT